TCTTGGGATTTTGAGCATGCATGCATACACACCCAGCATGAGTTTCAAGCTGCCGGGTCTGGGACTCAAACAGCAGTAGACCATGTGGGAGTCTAGCACCTTAACTATTATGCCACCTGCTGGCCCCTCGAGACTATATTCTTATGTTCTTATGTGCATATATGGACAAATCTGTAGACAGTCATGATGCTTTTCACCTTGAGATGTTAAAACTCCTACCCCAGCTTTCCTTTGTGTAGTTCTGCCTTTTTAGTTGTGATTTTCATAGTCAAGGTGCTGTTGACCATATTTTTAATGCAGCTGAAGGAACTTTTTGATCAATTATAACCGTTTACATTAGATTTGTTAACTTATTTACTTGTTTTAAATTTTGTTATTTATTTTTAGCATGTATTAAGAGTCTCATTTAAGGGTGAACAGTATCATCATTATAAATTTTTGTCTTAGGGTGCATGTGATTACCAGAGAGAAACAAAGAGAGGGCAAGTGAGAAATCACAACCACTGGGAAGTGGCCACACCACAATCCCTTCTCCGTTCTCCTCTTAGGATTTTGGGCATGCATCCACAGGGCCTGGCATGTTTTTCAAGCTGCTGGATCCAGGACTTGAACCACTGCCAGCCATATGGGAATCCAGCACCTTAACCATGACACCACCTGCTGGCCCCAACCTATTTACTTTTTACTATGCTTTGTTTTCTCTCCATTCCTGCCTTCCACTTGGATAGATCAAATTTTCTCTGGATGGAGGGTGGGAAAGGACAGAGGGTCCGAAAGAGGGGTAAAAAATTCTAGGAACTATAAATGGAAAATTTTTTATAATAATATGCATGATTAAGTCACTATGCAGTATATTCTGGATGGGAAATTACATTTTGTATGCTGTGATGATGCTTAGGGAAAAAATGTAAATTAAGCTACAAAAAAAAAAGTTTCAGAAAAAAAAAAAATCCATGACCTCTGTAAGATATATAGCCCCAGCTAGGTGCTACTCACTGAGGTTTATGCTTAAAGTTGGACTTGTGTTCATGGAAATGTATATATCAGCTGTGTTTGCTATGAAAATATTTAGATTAATTAAGATCTTTAGTAATTCAATAAAATGTGGGGGGAAAACAGTATAGAAAGCAAACATAGATACCAGAGACAGTGTGGGAGGAGAGGGGGAGATGGCAGAGGGTAAGAGATAGGGAATCAAGGATGGGGGAAAAAAGCAAACATACAGGAAACAAGAAATGGAAAATTATTTGCTGACAATAACATGTATGTTGATGTGCTTGATTGAGACAACATACAGTGTACTCTGGATGGAAAAAAAATTTTTTTTTCCTCTGGATGGTTTAAAAGCCGCCTTTCAAAATTCTGCGGCTGCTACATCTGTCTCATTAAGGCTGTACTTATCACTTCTGTGGCTGAAAACTATGTCTTTTAGTAACCAGGACAAATGACGGCAGTCCACACTCTCACACTGTACTGAGGTTGTTTGAGGTTCCCATGGGAGATTAATAGAAGTAAAGGTGCTTCTCAACTTACAATGGGGTAATGTTCCAATAAACCCATCTTAAGCTGAAAATGCATTTAATGCAGCTACCAACCATCATAGTTTGGCCTAGCCTACCTTGAACACACCCAGAACAGTTCTATTAGCCTACAGTTGGACAAAATCATCTATTTATTATAAAGCCCCATTTTATAATAAAGTGTTGAATATCTGATGTAATTTATTGAATACTGGATCAGCAGATTGCATAATGGTTACATCACTGGACTACTATGCAGTCGACCATGGTTCAAGTCCTGGACCCAGTGGCTTAAAACTCATGTCAGGTGTGTGTGTGTGCGTGTGTGTGTGTATGCCAAAAATCTCAATAGGAGAAAGGAGAAAGTATTGTGGCATGGCCACCCCACTTGGGGGGTGATTTCTTGCTTTCTGTCTCTCTGTCTCTGCCTGTCGAGCACAGATGCCCTATAGCAAAAAATCTCTCTAAAATAATAATAATTTATTGAATACTGTACTGAAAGTGAATACAGAATGTTCTATGGGTACTTGAAGTATGGTTTTGGTGAATGTGTATTACTTTCACACCATCATAAAATTTAAAAGTCCTGAGTCAAACCATCACAAGTTGGAAACTGAAACATTCTAATTCTCTTCATTACTAGGCCATATGGAAACTATAGTGAATGAATATCACATGAATTCACATGAATATCAATATCCTTGAGTTTATTTTTCTTCCTGCTAAAAAACTTTTTCTCAGAGATTTTTCAAATCAGGTTTTTGTATGGTAAACCTACTAAGGCCTTAGAGATGTTAATGTCTCAATGAAAGTTTAGCTGGACATAAAATTCCAGTTGCAATTTTTTTTCCCCTCAGGGTTGGATCTGTGGCCTAATGATTGGGTCAGTTGGATCCCACATGACTGACCACACAGTTCAAATCACAACCCCCAGGGGACCAGCAGATGGCATGAAGGCTAAGGCACTGGACTTCCACATGGCCAACCGCAATTTGAGTCCTGGACCTGGTGGCTTAAAAGTCACACCAGGTGCATGTGGGTCTGTGCCCAAAGTCTTGAGGAGAAAATGAAGAAGAAATTGCACCACGGCCATCCCCCATGTGAGATGTGATTTCTCACCTTCCTTCTCTTTGTTTCTCTCTGGCAAATGCATGTACCCTATGACAAAAATCTAAAAATAATAATAATTTAACAAACAGCCCTGGAGTCTTGAAAATATGCTAGTACATGTGTGTAGATGTCCCAAATCCCAACAGAGTGAGAAAATGGAGGAAAAGGGATTGTACCAATACCATGCCCTACTAGAGGGTATTATCTTTCTGTTTCTCTCTCTGACAAGTGCAAAAAAGGCTTTTCTAACTTTTTTCTCTTAACACTTTGAAGATAGAACATTACTGTTTCTGGCTTCTAGTGTTTCATAAAATCTGATTTTGTTCTTTTGGAGAGGTCTTTTGCTATAGGGCGCGTGCGATCGCCAGACAGACAGAGAGACACAGAGACACAAAGCGAGAAATCACCCCTCAGGGGGGATGGCCATGCCACAGTCCCTTCTCCATTCTCCTCTCAGGATCTTGGGCACGCACGCACACGCGCCCGGCGTGAGTTTAAGCCACCGGGTCTGGGATGCGAACCGCGGTCAACTACGTGGGAGTCCAGCGGCATAGCCATTACACTAACTGCTGGTCCCATAAAATCTAATTTTTTTTGAGATAGATTTTTGCTATAGGGCGCGTGCGATCGCCAGACAGACAGAGAGACACAGAGACACAAAGCGAGAAATCACCCCTCAGGGGGGATGGCCATGCCACAGTCCCTTCTCCATTCTCCTCTCAGGATCTTGGGCACGCACGCACACGCGCCCGGCGTGAGTTTAAGCCACTGGGTCCGGGACTCGAACCATGGTTGACTACATGGGAGTCCAATGACGTAACCATTATGCCATCTTCTGGTCTTAATAAAATCTAATATTAATCTTATTCCCAGTTCTGTTTTTTCTCTTAGGATTTAAGTGATTTTCTTTGCTCTTAAAGTTCTTTAGACTGTTTTTTGTTTTTTTGTTTTGTTTTGTTTTCATATTGAGTCTGTGTGGTCTAAGATCATTCATCTTTAGATTTGAGAAGTTCTTGTCCATTATTGCTTCACATTCGTTTCTTCTTTTTCTAGGATTTCGATGTGATGAATGTTAATTTACACTCCTTTTATACACTCCTATCAACTTTTCATGACTCTCTCTCTTTTTTTTCTATAGGGTGCACATGCTCACTAGAAAGACAGCATTAAGAAATGCTGAGAAATCATACCCCAGGGATATAGCCACGCCGCAATCCTTTCTCCTCCATTTTCCTCTCAAGAGTTTGGGCATATGTGTCCATGTGCCAGTGTGATTTTAAAGCCACTAAGTCTGGTACTTGAACCATGAAGTCAGTCATGTGGGATCCAGCTGCCTTAGCCTCCACATCACCTACTGGCTAACTGGTCTCTCTCTGAGCCTTCCTGGGCCTCCTGGGAAAATGTGCTGAGTTGGTGTCATGCTGTCAGCCTATTATTGCATGTCCCTATGTTCACTCTAAATTCTTACCATAGTCCCTTGATTTGGCTTTCTCTGCTATAGATTTTTTTCCCTCTTTCTCATCCATTTAAGGAGACTGGGCTCATTGGAATCCTCATTTTATCCTGCAGTGATGTGGCTGGCCGCCACTCCATCAGTGGGCATCGACACTGTGTGGAGGGCTACATGTGGCCTGCTTGCTGCGAAAGTGAGACTCCTGGGGGAGAGGTGGAAGGACACTGTGCTCTGCTCCATGGCTGAGGGCCCTATCCTCCTCCTTCGCAGGTGCTGAAGGGGAGGGAAAAGGGGGCTCTAGCCCAGATGCTAAGGGTGCTTTCTTCGGGCTGGAAGAAGAGGTAGTATTGGTCTAGGTCCAACCCTCCCCACTGACCACCCTGCCCTTTGTGCTCCTCTACTCTGGATACCCTTTTTCCGGATGTCGGTCTCAGCCCGGGAGTACCTCACCCTCAGGACTGGCCTGTTATCCCCAGGGAGTCATGCCCCTGTGACATTACCCACCCCTCCCCACTGCTGATACTGGAGAAGGGTGGGAGGGATAATCTCAGCTGAGACCAGCCTCTGCCCAGGAGACCCCTCCATACCAGCCTTGCCTGGGGCCCAGCCCTCCTCCCCTCTGGGCCATTCATCTCACACACAGGCAGTGGGATCAGCTGTGTTCTGGGCTCAGCCCAAGTGTGTTTTGCAGGTCCATCCTCCTCATTCTGTGGCACTAGCAACCAGGATAACCCCAACTTGGTTTGTGTGGCACCTCCACCCCTGGAAGGGCAGAGTACCTGTCTGGGCCTCCCCATATTGGGGTTAGGGGCTCCTGTCCAAGTGCCCTGAAGTCCAGGCGAGGAGCCCAGGGGAAGCCCACATAAAGCAGCAAACACATATCCATTTGGAAGCTGCCTGCTCCTTTAACGTACTGAGTTTTACATGGTACCTGAGCCCAACGCCTAGAGGCCCCTCAGGGACCTGCAGACCTGAGTCTTCAGTCTCTGGGAAAGGGCAGGAGACCACAGGGCAGCTTCCAGCTGACCCCAGGGCTGCAGTGGGCTTGTGAGGCTGCCCATAAATACCTTTATATAAATACGGGCTGGGCTGTATTTCCAGGTAAACAGTCAGTTGAGCTATAGCAGTCCCAGGACCTAGCACCAGAAGAACCTGCTCACAGGGCAGGGGCCCCATATTTGCACCTGCACCTACAGATGCCCTCAGTCCCAACCCAGGGGTGTGAGGAGGGGCGGGGCTTCCTCGGCACTGCCACGTGCCCAGTGCAGTGTGTGGCCTGAACCCGTGTCCACTGGCTTGGGATCCACAGAGCCAGGTAAGGCAGGGCCTTTCTCCTTGAGGCCTCCCTCCTCATGGCCACAGGACTCTTGCAGAGTGAGAGGTTGCACAGCTGTCCAGGGCCCTCCGGAGAGAAGGGTGTGGCCTGGAATCCTAGGCCGATGGTGTTCCTTCTCAGTCGTCACCAAAAGCTGGGTCTCCTCCAGCTGGAACTGGGGAGGCGGGGCCTCCGTGGTAGCTGCTTTGAGCTAATGCTTGGCTGCCCTGCTGCTGAGTCTGGATGCCGGTCTGATGGAGGCTGATTGTATGGCCACTGTGAGGATGAGGAGAAAGGAGGGGCACCCCAGGGTGGAATGGAGTTTTCAAAACAGCTAAGGTTCCGGGCTGATACCTCACCCTTCCCCTCAGCTGCCAAGACCAACAGGGGGGCAGCAGCCCACCCCTTCATCCCAGCTTCGGTCCCAACCCCCATTTCTGAGGTCTAGATTCTGGGGTCCCAGGACAGGGAACATCCGCCTTGTGGGGCCCAGATTGGACATGAGTGTCCTCTGGGCCTAGCCATAATGCTGCCCTCCTGGAAAACCCATGCAGTGTTCCCCACACCCCCTACCTGGGTCCTGAGCTAGGGACAGGCTCTCAGGTAGCTGGGGGGGCCCACCTGAAGGGTACAGACAGAAATTTGTTAGTGCCCCCAACCTGGGGTGGGTGACAGTATTGGGGCAGCAAGGCCTAATTCACCCAGCCTTCTATGGGTCCCCATATCCCCTGATACAACTTACTTCTCCATCTCTCTTCTATGCAAATAGCGGGACCTGTCCCTGTCCCCACATGACAGTTCCCAGCCCTTCCCATCCCTCAGCAGCACAGAGAAATGGAAGGAGGGGCTTTGGGAAGGCATGGGAGGACCTTCACCCAACACCAACCCAAGTTCACTCCAGGGAAAGAATCTTAGGCTCCAGGCTCCTGAGACCTCAGGCAAAATGTCCAGGAAGTGACCCTACACCCTATTCAGTGCAGCCGAGGCAGCCTATGTGCGGTACCGCATAGGACCACTAGATGTCGCTGTGGGCAGCATCATATCCCCAGGCCCAGCCCAGCCCACCTGGCTATGTCTGTGGTGGGGAACCTTCCTCAGTTTGCGGCCAAGACTGCTTTAGAGAGACTCAAAGTACACAGTATTGGGCCAATATTTTGGGGCCCAAGACCAAGATGCTAGATCTGAAGTCTCCTGTACTGCAAAGCCTTTGCCTGGGTCCTCATCTTGACCCCAGCTGCAGGTCCTGCCCTGCACAGGCCTGTTGCCTGCCTCCTACCTCCCTCTGTAAAGATCCTTCCCAGCACTGTAACAGTGGGGCCCAGGGAGCTGACCAGGGGATAATCCCAGGGCCTGAGCTGACAGAAGAGTGGGAGTCCCCTAGCTCTGCCTGCAGGGGCCCAGGGGCCACCTTCGTGCAAGATGGAGCATGTATGTGCTCTAGAGTACATGTGTGTGCACAGGTACACCGTGGTAAGGAAGGTCAGCATCCTCCTGCACTGTGGACCATCCAGCTCTGCCCAGGGGTTGTGGCCCTCGCAGGCTCCCACAGCAGTTTGTAGCCCACCCTTGCAGTTGCCTAGGGCTGGGGAAGGGTGGAGCTGCTTCAGGCTGGAAGCTCAGCCCACCCCTGCCCCACAGTTAAGTGGCTGTGAGGCTCACACCTGGCCTGTCAGAACCGAGTGAACAGGTGAGTACCAGGCTAACGTCCACTCAGTGTGGACCAGACAACTCTGCCCCCTTGGGACAGATGGGTCCTCAGCTGGGGGTGCTTGGATGAGACACATTGTCTTCCCACCTCCTTGCCAGGAGTCTGACTCACCTTCCCGGCATGTAGGGCCCATGTAGCCATCCACACAGTGGCACTGCCCAGTGATGGGGTCACAGTCAGCCCCACCCCCGCAGTCACAACGCAGGGCACAGCCGGGCCCGAAGTGGCCCGCTCTGCAAACTATAGAGGCAGGAGGGGGCAAAAAGGGACAGGTCTGAGTTCAAGCCATGCCTGCCCTAGGCCTGGGAGTTGCCGCAGAGAGTGTGGCGGGGTGAGGTCTAGGTCCCTGTGGGGGTGCGCACAAGCTAAGATCTCAGGCTTCAGCTGGCCCTGCCCCCCTCCCTGACAGTATGCTGCAGCCGGGAGCTCCTGCATGGGGAAGCACCAGCACACGCCCGGGATCACCACCCTCATCCCTGCCTCCAGATGGGCCAAGGGGAGCCTGGTGGTCAGAAACAGCCTCACCCTGGGCACGACAGGCCCAAGAACCACGAGGAAGTGGGATGTTCAGCCTCAGCAGGGTGGCCCCTCCTGTCCTCAGGTGGGCCCTCTGGTTTAGAGGGGCCACAGCCCCCTGCTGCTACCCACCCATAGCTGTCATCCGGGAAGTCTTCACGCCTAATTGGGGCCTTCTCCCATGACACAGCCCCCTGCAGTTCTGGGAGAGGCCTCTGTGGGCAGCCCCAGGGCAGGATTTGGCTTTGATGGCTCCAGCAGGTGCTGCTGAGGGCGAGGGCATGTGCAGGGTGGAGGGGTGAGGGCATGGGGTCCCAGTCAGAGCTAGCAGAGACAGGGCTCAACAATTCCTGCCACTGATAGGGGCCTTCCTGGGTGGGACCCCAGACTCACCCAGGTCACACATGGCTCCTGTGCGTCCTGGTGGGCAAAGGCAGAGGCCGGTGATGGAGTCACAGGGTGTCCCACCACGACAGCCACACTGCTGGCGGCAGCCCTCTCCGAATGAACCCGGCTCGCACCCTGATGAGGACACAGGGCTCAGTGTCTTCCTTTTTTCCTGCACCCAGACTAGACAGGGCAGGGCAGGGGTTGGGTGGGGAGCCCATGGGGGCATAGGGTACTCACCCCTCTCACAGAACTGGCCGTGGAAGCCGGCGGGGCAGAGGCACTGGCCACTGACGGGGTCACAGGGGGCTCTATGTTGACACCTACACGCCTTCTGGCAGCCAGCCCCATGGAAGCCAGGGGGACAGGCTGAAGGAGGACACAGTTAGGGCCAGCCCAGGGCAGAAGGAGGCAGAAACCGCCAGTTTGCCCAGCGTGAGCAAAAGATCAACACCAGGGGCCCATGAGAAGCCTCCTCTTGGATGTCCACGCCCCTCCCCAGCCCCTGGCTCCCAGACCTAGCCCCCGTCACTGCCCTGAGCATCAGGGGGGTGGAGGCATCCCACTGGAGTGACGGCCCAGCTCCACCGGCTCCCAGGGTGGCCTGCTGTGTGATAGGTCAGGCCTATTTCATCAGGTCCCCATGAGCAATAACGCGGAAAGTGGCCATCACCGTTGTGAAGCCAAACTAGGTCTGCCACACAGGAGCAGTGGACAGCCACTCGGCAGCCCAGCCCGGGGGCAGGGCTCCAGCCCCATCACTCACAGTGCTCGCAGGCTTGGCCGTAGAAGCCAGGACCACAGCGGCAGGCGCCTGTGGTGGGCTCGCAGGTGCTATTGTTGAGACAGGAGCACTCCAGGCGGCAGGCGGCCCCATAGCGCCCAGGGGGGCAGGCTGGGTACAGAGCACAAGGACAGGGAAAAGGACGACTCCTCAGACCCTAGCCTAATGCAGGTGACCCTGAGAGCTTCACCAGTCCTATGGCAGCCAGGGCCCCCAACTACAGCCTCCAGCCCGGTGCTCTCCTAATGAGCCCAGAGCTGCTGTTCCCGCCCTCAGGCATGGCCCTGCTTCCTGTCCAGCCCACACAAGGACTCACCCAGCTCGCAGTGTGGCCCTGTCCAGCCGAGACCACAAGAGCAAGTGCCGTTGGCGGCGTGACACAGGCCCCCGTTTCTACAGGAGCACTCGAACTCACAGCCTGCACCAAACCGGTTCTGGGGACAGCCTGGGGCAGAAGCAGGCGCTGCTCAGAGACAGACACACTCCAGAGACATGTCCCCACAGGCTGACATTCACTCAGCAAACACTTCCTGATGCCCTCTGGTGCCAGGCTCTGCCCCACCCCCTGTGCACACTAGTGTCAGGGAGCAGCACCAGCCTGTCCTGCTCATTCATCACCTCAGGCAGCCAGCACCGGGCTGGTCTAGGAGCTGAGGACGACTCAGTGATGGAGGAGCCAAGGCCCTCCAGGAGCTGCGAGTGCCTGCCCAGACAACAGGGAGGGGTCAGTGGAGGCTTTCTGGAGGCAGCAGCACACTATACATGGGCCCCCTGGGAAAATGTGCACATCCTCCAGGCCTGAGATGCAGTGACCTGTAGATGCAGGTGGCCCCTCATGGCCCTCTTATTTGCACCCTGATGACTGCCGATTAGCACAATGGCTGCTGTTCCTGGAGTGAGATGGGGCCAGGCCACTCCTGCCTGGAGCAGTCCCTGGGCTTCTAAGAATCCTTCAAGAGTGAAACTTGGGGATGGCAGCCTCTCAATAAGGACTAAAGTGGGGACCAGGCTTAAAGCTATGGATATGGCCATGGGTACTGGGCATTGAGGAGCAAGAGCTCCCCTAGTCCTCCCTGTGCTCCAAGCCTCCCTCTGGGGCTTGAGCCTGCGCCTGGCAGAAAGGGCCTACAGGTCTCTTCCAACGGGAGACTCCATCCTTGGGAAACAGTCATCTGACCCTCCTGCAAGGGGGCTGGCGGGGCTTTGGGTCAAAACACAGCCCCCACCAGCTGAAGGATGAGGACAGGTCACTCAGCAGCAGGAGCGGTCGAGGCAGAACTGTGGGCGGCATGGGTCCTGCGCAGGGCAGCCTTGTCAGCACAGCGAGGATGCCTGCCTCTACCCTCGAAGGGTTTCTATGGCAGTCGCCAGTGTGAATCTAATACCCAGGGCCCGTGTTCCACCCTGGTGACCCTCGGGGCTGGCCCACCAGCGCCCCACGTGATTAAATGAGGCCTGCAAAGTGCAGCTGTTCCCACCCCCTGGAGAAAACACTCACTGTGCTCACAGTGGACGCCAGCTCGCCCTGGGGGGCAGATGCAGGTGCCGGTCACGGGGTCGCAGGCTATCCCCTGCCCGCACTCACACACATGGGCACAGTCAGGGCCAGAGCGGCCCTGTGGGCAGGCTGCAGAGGAAGCAGGTGAGGGTGGCACCCCAATGGTGCCCTGCTGGCAGCTTGCTTTCCTCCCTGCCAGCTGACGCTGGAGACAGGGTGGACACTGGGTCTGCCCAGACAAGGTGGAGCCAGCTAGCTCCCACGCCTCCCCTCCACCCACAGGCTCCTCTGGGGACTGGGCCCAGCCTGGCCCATTCTGCATTGACTCACTGTCACCCCACCCCTGCCAACTCTGCCTGAGTCCCAGACAGGAAAAGTCCCCACATGACTTAGGAAAAAGGCCCTTTTCTCCACAGGGTGCTCAGCACCAGCTGCAGCTGCAGTTGCAGGGCTGGCCTCTGTGCATGCAGAGCCCTAAGAACCTGGTCTGGGTTGGGCTGGGCACAGCACACAGCTGGGTAGAGCCAGCTGAGGACTGGGGTCATTCTGACACTCAAGGCTTCTTTGCCACCCAGGGGTCAGGCTCAGTGGGAGTGGGGTGAAGGGTCAGGGAAGTGAGCACGCAAGGGGGTGCCTTCCCTCAATCTGGCTCCCAGAGATTCAGGGAGGAGTCACCCAGCCCTGCAGCCTGGCCACTTACCGAGGCTGCAGTCGGCCCCAAGGAACCCAGCAGGACAGCGGCAAGCCCCTGTGGCCACGTCGCAGGAGCCCCCGTTGAGACACCCACACAACTGCTCACAGCCTGGCCCATACCGTCCTGGTGGACAGCCTGCAGGGAGAGCCAACTGCCAGGGGCGGGGCTGGACACTGCCCCTCAGCACCCCTAAGCACCGAATAGCAGCTCCTGTGACGTCCCCGTATGTCCTAGCTTCTACCCCTACAGACCAGGGTCTTCCCAGGGACCTGGGGACTCGGGCCCCCGGGCAGGTACAGGCAGTACTCACGTTGCTGGCAGCCAGGGCCGTGGTAGCCGGCAGCGCACATGCAGGCCCCCGTGGCAGCATGGCAGGCCTGGTTCTCTCCAGGACACTGGCACATTCGCCCACAATCCTCCCCAAAGGTGCCAGGCCGACAGGCTGGGTACAGGTAGGGTGTGGAATCAGTCCTGATCCGGCCCTGTCCCCGGGGTGGGCAGCCTCTCCAGGCACTGTCCCCGGATCCCCTTTGGGGGTGGAGGTGTGGGGATCACTTACTCTGTTCACAGCCAGGCCCAGTGAGGCCAGGCGGACAGCGACACTCCCCGCTGACGTGGTAGCAGGCGGCACCAGGAGGGCAGCGGCAGCGCTGGGCACAGGCCTCTCCATACCAGCCACGTGGGCAGGCTGCAGGAAGGGTGTGGGCTGAGGAGGCTCCCAGGGAGGGGTTGTTGGGGAGCCCTTGGGCCAGAGCAGGCCCTGAGCCATCACTGCATGCAGCACTCACCCCCTGCCCAGGGCAGTGGGTCCTTTGGAGGCTGTGCTCACCATTCTCACACCTGGAACCCCTCCATCCTGGGGGGCAGAGGCAGGCCCCGGTGACGTGGTGACAGGTGGCTCCCCGCCGGCAGGCACAGCGCTCCTCACAGCGAATCCCAAACGTGCCCTCAGCACAGGCTACAGCAAGATGAGATGGACAGCAGGGCTGGTCACGGGAGAGCAAAGGGCATTTGGCAAGCCCCTGAGCCAGCCCCAGGGTCAGCTCAGACCTCCCTCCAACAGCAGACCCAGGGCTCAGGCCCCTGGGCAGGGGCAGCTGGGCTGTCCACTGAGCAGGGAGGCATGTCCCGGTGGAAGGTGGGGGCTGGTGAGCAACTGCCTCGGAGGAGGCTGGAGCCGAGGATGAGGAGCAGTGCCTCTCTGATGCCCACTCATCCAGGCTGGTAGCCAACGCCCGTCCTGTAGACCCAGAGGCATGTCCTGCCCCATGCACTCTGTGCAGGGACCCATCCGGAACCAAGGGGTCAAAGGGGTCACTCTGTGGAGTCTTAAGATGGCACTGCTATCCCTAGGCATCATATGTCCTGGTCACGTGGGGGCTGGCCAAGGCCCAAACACCTCTCACCGAGGCCGAGCTGCAGTATCCCCACCCATCCCCATGGACTGTGTGGGTTGATCCCCTTCTGCAGGGGACCCTTGGCAGCTCAGCACAGCGCCCTCCCACCTGCTAACTAATCACCCACTGGGCCGTGGGCCTGGCCCTGGAGTGAGGCTGAAGACCTCCCTTGGCCAGCCTAGCGGGTCTCCTGGCCTGTCCTGCTGCCCCACCAGACTCACGGCTCTGGCACTGGTCCCCTGTCCAGCCGGCCAGGCAGAGGCAGCGGCCCGTGTGCCGGTCACAGAGGCCCCCGT